GACCCTAAACGTGAAGGCCATCTGCTGAGCAGACGGTTTCCCTGGGAACAGCAAATGCTCTTCTTGAGTGAATTCCACTCAGTATTTTTCCTTTCTAAAGGACAGTGACTTCTCTGTGGAGGAAGGCATTTTCAATTTTTTTTTTCTTAGAATTTGCATCCTCTGTGAAGATGATGCGCTTTGGGAGTTGTTTCAGACCCCATGCTGCCAAAAGCCAAGTTTTTGCTAACAGCTTCTCAAGTGCTGGGGCCTATTTATTATTTGATGCATTTTTTTGGACCCTCGGTAGTAAAAAGATTGAAGCGGTTCTGATGTTTCCACTGGGAGAGCTTGCTTTTCTGGTCCATGCAACCAAATGTCAACTAATTCCAGGCACTGCAACTAAATGACAATGACTTCTGAAGCTTCATTAGTTCTGTTGGGAACAGAGAGAAAAACAGATGACCTACAAAGCCCACAGCTCAAGGGTAAAGCAAGACATGTAAATGAGCATAATCCCTACAGTGAATGTAAAAATAGACACATGTTGCAGGTATTAAATGTTGGTAAAACATCAAGGCAAGTCAGCACATGCAGCCTGCAGGAAGGGACCCATCTCTCATGCAGTTCTTCCACTGACCTCTCCAAGGAAATCCAGGGGAAGTATTTGGGGTAAACGCAAACCCAGCTTGTCAATTCCCAGCCTAAACCCTCTGCCCACTTTCTTCTCACAGATCCTTGAGGCCAAAAAAATTTAAGATTTTATTCCCATCAACAGACTCCTAAACCCACAAAATACCAGCCCGTACCTAAAGCGACATTTTATACTTCTTTACCCTGGTCCTTTTCCAGCGTCGGTGGGGAGCTCCATCACGCCACCAGATGACGGCATCACCCTTCCTGGGCTCCACATGTGTTTATTGCAAGAAGCCCTTCCACTTGGCCTGTCTACTAGTTGCTTGTACTTTCATCTTGACTGTGAAGCAACCTTGTTAAAAAATTTATTTTTCAGGTGCCACCACCGATAAATCAGCCTTTTGATCAGGGGAAAAGCATCATGAAATTAAGAAAGGACACATTTTCCTTTTTCTGGGAAGGTTTTGGGATGTCAGTCACTGTAAAAATCTCTTCTTGGGAATGCTGTCCACATCTGCAAACTGTTGCTGTAAGGTCTACGCAGAAATCCATTTCAGAATAGAGCGCTGCCCTGTGTAAGCCATCTTTCCTGGAAAATGCCCACCCGGCCTCCTCCATTGAACTATAAAGTCACGTTGCTTTCTGTGATGGGACAGAAGGAAGTGATTCACACACCTGAATTCCCTAAGAAATGGAAAATTTCTCACGGGAGAATGTTTTGATAGCTTTCCTTCCATTCAAAGTCACAGCGTACATGTGAGTCTCAGAGGTTCCTTATGCAGCAGAGAAGGAAAACTTGAGATGGGTTAGTGATCATGTGAATCATACCGTATTCAAATGAGTTCTGCCTTTTCACTTCCTTCCTCTGTTTGCATTTTATCAGAAGCAAGCATGTTTGTAAATTATAATGTAGGTGGAACAAATCCGTAGTTTCTGAAGAAGGTATCATCATGCCTGAACAGCTAGCTAGTTGTGTAATATTGTCCAAGCCCCTCGACACATGACAAACCTCAAAATGCAATTTTTTTCTTTTCGATCCTTAAGGAAGTTTTTTTTTTTAAATCTTGCACATCTTTTTTTTTTTTTTAATCCTCACCCGAGGACATTTTTCCATTTTTTGTTCAGACAGAGTGGGAGGGAGAGAGAGAGAGAGAGAAACATCGATGTGAAAGGGACACATCGAGTGGTTGCCACCTGCACAACCCAACCAGGGCCGGGGACAAACTGCAACCGAGGTACGTGCCCTTAGCGGGAACCGAACCCGGGTCTCTCTGGACCGCAGGCCGACGCTCTAACCGCTGAGCCAAACCGGCCAGGGCAAGGAAGTTTGGTTTTTTTTTGGTAATCATCTGAGCCAATGGAAGGAACTCATTACCTGAACTTGGTCCCCAGGGCAGAGAAAGCCGAGCTGAGAGCCCTTGGGAAGATGAACTACAGCCTCTGCCCTTACCAAAGACAAAATGAGTGTCTAGGTGTACCAGATCCCCAGGTAACTCTGCTCCCTCCTCTCCCCCGAGCCCAGAGGATGTGGTCTGAGAAGCACTTACAATCCGATGGAAGGCCCAAGTCAGACAAGTGTGGTCTGGAGGTGGAGAACCTGCCTGACCTACCACTCTGGGAAGCTGGGCAGGTCATCCTCATTTTAGATTGGGGGGCTCAGGGCTCTGGGGCCTGGGCCAGCTCCCACCCTGCCCTGCTCCAGCAGAACAATGCTGCCAAGCAGGCTCACAGGCCACTGGGCTGGTGCTAAAGAGACTGAGGCTCCTGCAACCTCCAGACACTGGCTGCAGCCCAGGAAGGCAGGCGGGCCTGGCTGCTCAGACAGACCTTCAGCACATGTAGATATTTGGTCTGTGGGCTTCCATTAGCACTTGCACTGGCCCCAGAAATGGTAGGGGCATCCTGCCTCTGGTTCCTTGTCTAAAATGTCATACTTTTTGCTTAAGTACCTTAATTTAAGGTAAAGCTAGGTAAAAATTACAATTCAAGATGTCAGGGAAAAAAATAAATAAAATAAAATTTATTTTTCCAGAGTTATTCCAAGAAGAAATCTTTGAATGAATTGCAGCTTCTGGCTTGCCCTTTCCTACCTCTCAGGTTGCATGCCCTATAAAAAGAACATCATTAAGTAAAACTATGGTTTGAAATACTTAGGGATACACACACACAATACCGCAAATACCACACTGTAAAATTCTCCATGTGGTATAAGAATCACAGTTTATCGCTCTCTAATGATCAATTGGCAATTAATAGTTAACCACCTTCTTGCACTGAAGACCTTTTCTAAAATACACAAAAGGAAACTACTATGTAGAGATTATTCCAAGACTCAGCATTCAAAGTATAACTTTAAAGAGAACAAATAAACAAAGCCATGCCAAAAGGAGCCCCAAACTACACACACTAAGAAGTATTTACTATTATCACTTAGAAGCATTAACATAAAAATATCTAAACTTTCATTTTTCTGATTTTTTATCCTAATTACAAAGACAGATGTGCTTACTATTCACGATGCTCAAACCATAAGCACAGTATAAGAAACAGCTTTCCCCTTCTGATCAGAAGCATAAATAATGTTTCTATATTATGTCGTATTGATATATATCATGGAACTGGTTGAAATGTATCTCTGGCTACTGTAAATCATAAATACAGTTCAGTGGAACCTCCTCCTTAAATGTAGAAAACAAGCACATAGCAATGAAATCTGGAGTTATACTCGATTTGAGTGTGAGTTTCTTCATAGCCCATTTTAATTGATTTATATGCACAGGAAAGAGGGGGAACATTAAACCTTTTACAAACCTTCCCAAGCTCTCCTAATTAGGCCAGTCCTACATAAAGAACTTCATAGTTTTAGAAAATCTGAGAGCAATGAAATTAAAAATGAGATAAATTGGGGGAAAACACACATATTCCAACACCTGTTCTCAAATTCTGTGCTTCTAACAAAGGGAAAGTTATAGGTAAGAGACAGAGGGCTATGACCAGGTTCCTCACTGGGCCACAAAATGGTATTTCTGAAATTTCTGTCCATAATTTACCTTTATGAAGAAAATCTGTGAAACATGCCAAAAGCATCAAAGAGCACAGAAAAAGCCATGCTTGACAAGAGAAGTTTATTTAACAGAACATTAACTGAGACATGTAAAGTAACCAATCTCTGTCAGGACTTAAGGTATTAGTTTAAAAAAAAAAAATTGCATCTTTATTTAACATATTCTCAGAATCTTTCTATCTAGCAAGTTGCTGAGTAAATGTACACATAAAAACTAAAATATCTAAAGTAAATGATCTATTCTAGAAAATACAGATGGTGGTACCAAAACATCTACCATATTTCTTCACAACCTAAGCCACCAGTGATGGTAAGGCACATCTTAATATATCTGCAGAGAAAGAAAAACCTTGCAATAACACACCATCCAGTGTGAGACGCATCCCAATTTCCGAGATGCTAAAATGTGTAAAGTAAGTCATTAAAATATGAAAAACACATCCAACTCTGATACTTGAAAAAGCCAGAATGAACATTTGAGTATAATGATGACTTAGCAAATACTTGTGGAAGAAATGAAAAAGTGAATGACTTACACAACTTTCTTGGTGGAAAAGTGGAATGAGTAAAATTTCTATACAAATGATCACAAAGACAAGAGATAGTTCTCCTTCATCAGGCCTCTGCCCTACTACTCTGGCCCAGCTTTCTTTCCCAATCAGAGTTCCTACAATGTTGCAGTAAAAAGCACACACTCTAACACTGGTTTTATATACATATCCACATATATACACACTAAGCCACACTCTAGAGCAGTGGTTCCACACACTATGACATGCACTAAACCCTGCTGCCAGTTTTGTAAATAAAGTTTTATTTGAACAGAGTCGAGCTTTATGTATTGTCCACGGCTGCTTCAATCATGCTGCAATGGCAGGATTCAATAATTGCAAAAGATGAAATGGCCAAGAAAGCTTGAAATATTTATTATCTGGCCCTTTAACAAAAAGTTTGCTAAGCCATACACTACAGCATAAAGCCCTAAAGGGCAGGAAGCATGTAAGGACTGGTCTCACTCTTCCAGCAATGGCACCACGTAAAAAGCAGAGAGTGTGCTCAGTGGTAGAGTTTGGTGATCTAAGAGCACCACACCGGGGTCAAGCCGAAAGGCCTTCTGACACACACAGCTTTAGTCAGGCTAATTTTCATTTCTAGAAGAATCTCTTTGCTCTTCATTTTACTTTTTTGTTGTTGTTCATATGTTAAGATTAGTTCCACACTGTCTGAATGACTAATGCAGAGGCTAACTCCATCTATCTTCCTGAGTAATGTCATTGAATAGATGTTTTTTTGTTGTTGTTTTTTTTTACAAAAAAACAGATTTAAATGAGTTAAATGCTAAAATTAATATTAAATTAATATGTTAGACATTTACTTTTTTTACATCACTCACTGAATAGACGCTTTGAGAATCATCAACTGTCTTTCACACAACAAACGATACGTACACAGAAACAGCCACCTAACAGTGACTCTGGGCATCAGTCATTTCCTAGCTAGGCGTGCACTCTGTGCTACCCTAGATAAGGAGCTACCAAATAGAATGAGACACAGTGACCCTCACTTAGCCGTAATCTCCTCAGACTCATTTCAAAGTAAATAGCATGATAGTAAACAGAACCTCAAGTTGATGACTAGGGGAAGGTCCACTAAGTTATTCAAATCAGGACTTTGGGGCAGATGGACGGATGTACAGTCATGGCTCCTTGTCTCCGGCTATATACAATCCAGGGACAAGGGTATTGGTGTGACCAGCCCTGGCTGGTTTGGCTCAGTGGTTAGAGCGTAGGCCCACAGATCAATGAGTTGTGGGTTTGATTCTGGTCAATGGCACGTACCTTGGTTGTGGTTCATCCCCAGCCCTAGTTGGGGTTGTGCAGGAGGCAATCAGTCGATGTGTCTCTCTAACATCGATATTTCTCTCTCTCTCTTTCCCACTCTATCTGAACAAAAATGGAAGAATGTCCTTGTGTGAGGATTTAAAAAAGAGAAGAAAAAAAAACAAAAGGCAAACCAAAGAAGAACACAGTCCTTTGAGCTCCTGAAGAGGAACGAGTTGTTCTGAGAGGATTGGGAGCTGACGAAGGAAAAAGAGATCTCATGAAGGAGGTTTGGGGGTGATTTTAAAAGAGAAAAGGAAACCCTTTCTGGGCAAGGGCGGGAATAAAGGCCCAAAGAAGGAGAGGCACACTGCCTGGTGCGCTGTACGTGCTCCGTGAGGGGCCATTACTACACAGTCACCAAAGGCACCCACTCTGTGCCAGGCGATATATCTGGGAGCAAGACAAGTTCTCTTTAAAGACAGAAAAACTGCCTCTAATGCTGACTTCATATTGTCAGCGCTCTGGTCTAAGGAGAACACAATGTGGGAGAGGAACATGGGGGGAGACAAGTCTCAACACACAGGCTGGGATCTAACTGAGATGCCTGGGAAGCCAAGCTGAAGAGGTTAGATTCCAATCTAAAGAATATTTGTAATTTTTAAAATACCTATATGATATATTAAATGTGTGTATATTTAATATATTATAAATTTTGTTCACATTTTGAAGCACTGGAGATCATTCTAACACTAGTCTTTAAAACCAACTGTTTTTATAGCAAAGTACAGAGCAAAATGTAAACTCAACTCACTAGGAAAAATACCACTACTCATTCTCAAATACTCGAACTTGATCATTTTGAGCAATAGAAGGGACCCAGTGTATGTTAGACTAGCAGCCGGTGTGCTGCTAGCTGTGGATTAGAGGTTATTTCCAAATGACCCTAACTCAACATATATTTGACACAGTTTGCCAGACCTGTATTTGTGTGTTAATGGAGACACACTTTTAGTTTTATTTTAAAAGCAACAAAACTTCCTCCACTACCTGAATACTTCTTTATAAGGTAGCTTCAGAAGTGGCAAGAAGAACCTGCTTTTAGCAACTTAATCCCCAAACGGCAGCCCCATGGCTTTCTCCAGCATATTCCACCGACTCTGATGTCCTAGGTGGGCTGCTTCCTAAAAGCCAGCTTCTTGTGCCTTTCCTGAGTGATACTTCTTCCCTAGTCGTCACAGTAAATCTATTCCCCAGGTGAAACACTTATCTTCATGACTTACCATGATATACTGGAGCAATTTTAATATTTAAACATTATTTAAATACTTAACAAAAAGAAAACAAAAATATTTTCTTGGCTGATTTATCTTCACTTACATGTGCTTATTAGGCTTTACACCAGGGCTTCTCAATCTTGACACACAGACGTTAGAGATAATTATTTGTTGTGGGGGGCTGTCCTGTGCTTTGGATAATGTTTAGCAGCATCTCTGGCCTCTGACCCACTAAGTGCCTCTAGTAATCACATACAACATACCACACTGTGACAACCAAAATCGTCTCCAGTCATTGCCAAATGCCCCCCGGGAGGCAGAATTATATCATCCCGTTAATAACCACTGACCTAAACTCATTATTCCATTCTATAGTAACAGTAAAAGGTAACATACATTGAGGTTTGCAATTGGCCATCCACTATCCCGATCATGTTTATAAGTTAACTCACCTGATTCTCACAACACCCCATTTTAAAGATGAAGAATTACTCAAAGAAGATAAGTGTCTTGTCTAAGGCCAGACAGAACCATTTATTGAACGGAGTCCACTGATGTCAGAACCTTGGCTCCTAACTGCTGCACCATTCTGCTTTCTGGAAAGGCACAAAATTGATAGCAGTTGACCAGGTACAGTCTCTGTGTCTTCCCTGTTTTGTGACCAGACACAACATTTGCACAGCAGGAGCTCTTGTATCTTCCCAGGAGTCAAATTCAATGATGTAACAACTGATGTAGCTCGGGCATGAATCAACCCATGGTCATAAACAACACAGATGAGTATGCCCAGCCATCTGATGCCACAGACTGAATGTGATCTACATTTTCCTTAACTGAAGGTTCGTTTTGCCCAAGCAGGCACTGCGTTGGTCCAAAGCACACATTCCTAGAGCTCCTACAAGGCACAAGCACCGAAAATGCACATGGACGCTAAAAAATAAGAGATGAGATCCTTGCTTTTAAGAAATTTGAAATCTCATGGAGCCCAAGTGCCCCGTGATAAAATTATTTAGGAAGACTTAACAGCAAATCGCACGGCAATAACTTCAACTAAAGGTAAGGAGAACCCAAGTCAATTGCATCAAAACTTAGAATGATTGAATATTTTTCTTAGAAACAATTTTTTAAAGTAAGTAATCAGCAGGTTAATAAAATGTTGTGGATTAACAGTACTTAAGAAGTTTATTTAATGGGTGTTAAAATGACCTGAAATTCACTTATCCATTTGTTTAAATGAATACAATTTTCAATTACAGTTGAAAGCTTTTTGTGCTCTTTAATGGGATAAACATTTCCCTTGTGCTCCAGTGTAATCTATTAATTTGCTTAGCAAATCCTTTGCAAAGGGTAAACTTTTGCCTAGCCCATACAGACTGGTGCAAATTTTAAACGAGTGGGTTATGAATTAATTAAGCTTTTACTTGAGAAATAACTGACCTCACCACTATTAAAGCTGATCAGGAATAAAGTGGGGGACGGAAGGGGGGTTCTCAGCCAGCTTTCTTTGCATAATAAAATAACCTGAGCCTCATTTCCAGTGGTCTGATTTAATGGCTATGGGGTGGGACTTGCTGTCTGCATTTTGAAGCTCCTTGGATTGTTCTAATGAGGCCCAGGACTGAGAACAATTGGATTAAAGGAATGTCAGTACAGACTGGGTATCAGGAACCTTTGGGCACACCCCATTACAGACTGTAGGCTCTGGCACCCAGACAATGAGCTCTTCTACCAGCTCCTACTCTGTAACCTTAGGCAGATTACTTCTCTCTCATCTCTGGCTTCTTCATCTGTAAAATGAAGACATTCAGTGCAGTAAATGAGAACAGTCATGTAAAGCTTAGCATAGTGACAGAAGTGCACAGTATATTTCAGTCATTACCGCAGGCTTTCCAGAAGAGGGGACTTTTGAGTGGAGTCTTGGTCTTGATGGTAAAAATAAATCCATGTGCCTCTGACTAATAATTTTCATTCTACCTATTTCTTTTTTAAAAATTGGCGGGGGGGGGGGGGGCAACAAAATTCAATGATATGCTATGTGGACTTCCTGCTTATAATTGACATGCAATTTAAAGAAGAAACTGCATTTGCCCGTCAGGCATCCAGAATCCAACTGAGAGGTTATACTTTGCCACTTGAATCGTTGAGGTCCCTGCACTATTTCCGACAGGCTTCCTACCCACCTCAACAATTACACAAACGTTTGCAACAGCCCCAACTGCTAAGGCAAAAATATGTTTTCATCTACATGCTTCCTTGCAATAACTAATCCTACAAACACAATAAAGTAAATTCCAGCGGAGTTGAATTTTTTACAGTATTAGTTATAAACCCTTAAAATAATTTATAATGGAAATTCTGAGATGTCCTTCACTATGAAGGATATTGGTGCTGGGCCCAATGACAGAACATGTGTTCACAGGCGCACACAACTGTATGTATGCAATACGCATACACAGAAAAGGGTTCCTTTCACTTAACTCAAATTTATTCAGAACAGTTTTATGTTATTTATTTTCATGAGTTTTAGACAAGATCTTTTTTAGCACATTACAGAGGCCTGGAGGGGCTTTCTGCATAAAAGACAAAGCCAAGCACTGTTAATGCAAAGTATAGTAACTCAGTGTTTTGAGAAATACGGCCAAACATATTTGAATATGAAGCCATCAGGCCAAGAAATCTTGGTGTCTAGAGCTGAGAGCAAAATTGGAAGTTGAGTTCTCATTATCAGGAGATTTCTTGCTACCTTATGGCCTCTTGGCCTAGTCTAAGTCGACCTTCCAAAGATTCATAGCATGTTCCACAAAACATTTAGGATGGAACATTTCAAATCCCTCGTGTAGTGGTAAAACGTAAGTCATGACAGACCAGATCTGCAGTCTTTGCTGGGCCTCTGTGTGACTGTACTTAACCGTAACCCTCCTGGCGCTCAGTTGTCATCTGAAATGCCACAGAAATGGGTCTGTCATGCTCTTCCTCCCGACGGCATGCCCATGACTCTGTGTCCTCCTCATCTGCCCCTCAGTTGCGTTACCTGTTACCTTTATCTTTCTCTCGTTCTCCTAAGCTCTAAGGGGCCCTTCTGTAAGTTGTTTCCTGAACCCATTTCTTCTACAACCCACTTCTTCTACCTCTGTGACTTTCTGAATAAACTTTTGCTTATAGTTCGTAAAAGAAAAAAGAAAAGGAAAGAAATTGAATTTATCTCCAACAGGTTGCTGTTAAGATTAAATAAGCTAATACATGTAAAATGCTTGGAAAAATAAGTGCTCAATACATATGAACTATGATGATTATTATCTGT